CCCCAAAACCCCAAAACCCCAAAACCCCAAAACCCCAAAACCCCTAACCCAAAAATAATTATTGAAAACTAAAAATGAAGATTCAGGGTATCTTCTCCCTCCTCATTGTCTCTTTTACCTTATTGAAGCAGGTAATGTGAGGAAATGTGCAAGCCTTTAATTGTGGACAGTTATGGGATTACAATAGTGACACTGATGCAAAGATTGCTCTTGAAAAAGCAATACAAAACAAGGAAAGAATTGGGCTCGGATGTATATCTACACTGATAGATAAATAATTTCTATAGCTCGGCCGAATATCTCTTCAACACATACTATAAGAAGAGGAATCTTTCTCAGAAAGCCATCTACGAGTTTAGGAGCGCTATGAAAAACACTTCTAAACATATGGATGAACTTGAGAAATTAGGGATGAGACAGAAAACTCATTATCTAGAAAGATCTCCTCCCACAAAGTGGGCACAAAGCTTGGATGAAATCGAAATAGAGGTTAAATTCAGCCTAAGACATGGAGTCCCTGGCTGTATTAATGCATACGACCTAAACATTAACATGACAAGAGACTCTTTATATCTCTCTGCCTTCTGTATCGAAGGAGGAATCAAGATGAAATATGTCCTTGATATTAAACTCTGGGGAACTATTGATCCAGAAGAGTCAGAGTGGGAGAAGCTTGGAGTTGGAGAGATTAGTATCACATTGGCCAAAGATCCAACTCCAGCAAGATGGCTCACTCTTTGTTTAGATGAAAAACCTGATAACCTCGTTCTTTGGTTTGAAAAGCATCAAATGCATGCTTATAGGCTGGAAGAGTTCGAAGATGATGAGTTTGATGAATATGAAGGCTGGGATATAGAAAACGACGAAGATGATGAAGAAGAGGACAGAATGTGGAACAGACCTATTGTTAGAAAATCACAAAAAGCCAAAAAGTTGAAGGCAGAAGTCAAAGAAGAGAAAAAGACAAAAACTAAAACTAAAAAGAAGGCTTCAAAGAAGAGTAAAAAGTCTAAAAAATCTAAAAAATCGAATAAATCCAAAAAGAGCAAAAAGACTAAAAAGACCAAAAAACTTAAAAAGAATGCTTAATCTTATTCTAAAGTTTAGAAATACGTGTAAAGTTTACAACTCTTCTTTTAATTACTCCTCATTTTCTTGGGGTTTTGGGGTTTTGGGGTTTTGGGGTTTTGGGGTTTTGGGGTTTTGGGG